CGTGTACGTTGTCCCTCATTGCGGACGCAATTGCACTTAAAAGGGTTTTTCATCAATTTTTCATCAAGACCTATTTTCCACAGGCCATTAAATTTCAAATTTGCAGATATTTTAAATATTTAAGTTCTCTTAATTCTGCAAAAAAATTTTTATAAAGTTCTTTATTAGAGTATTAGATACCCCGATTACGAAATAAAATAGTTAAATTCAATTTAACGATTACAAATTGTTACAATTGATACAATTTACAAATTGTAAATTTGATAAAATATTTAAAGTATTAAATTTAATCTCTTTAAATTTGCGCGTGCGCTCAACATAATATATACCTATTTTCAATGTTACTTTTTAGCTTACTGTAATTTTTTGAGCACAAATTAGCTTTATTTTTTATTATAATTTATAATGTATGTAATTAAAAATTTTAATTTATTAAAAAATATGTATATAATTTATTAAATTTTTCGACATTAAAAAATTATTAATTTTACATTTGTGCAACTTTAAAGTACTTTTAATTATTGCATATTTTTTCTAAAAGGCGATAATAAAATTCAAAGGAAAGTACTAAAATTATTATAAAATTAAGTATTATTCTAAAAAGTATCATTCTAAAACAAGTACTATTATAAAAATTAATATTTTTCAATAAAACTATTTTTAATCTATTTTTTTGTTGAATATAGAAAGTTTATACGTGAATTTATGATGCATTATATTTGGCCGAATCTGTATGTACACGCATATAGAAAATTATCCACAAAGGTGCGAAACTTTGGCTGATTTCTGTCCAAACGGTGCGATTATTTGTAATTTGTATTTGTTTGATTAAATACGCTTATAAAATTAAGCTCAAGCTCGATGGTATTTGGCAGTGACTGTTGAATAATTCGTGAAAAGCTGTCGGGTTCGCTTTTATCGCCGTGCATTATCGCGAACGCGACGACTAATTTTCGCCGGGACGTTTCCATTGATCAACGTGAGCGTAACGGCGAATCAAATTGTCGCAATTTCAGAGGCGCGGACAGTTTTTGCTCGTCCGAGCTCCGCGTAACAAATGCAAAACTACGTCGACAGAGATCGACGCTGCAATTTTTCGCCCCAAGTATTTACGGGGTGCATTCCGACTCCGTGTATAAATCTACGTCTGCAACGCGCCCACACAACGCTCGTGTTGGCAGTTATTATTCGGCGAAACAGAAACTCGATCACGCCGGCCCTGCGATCGTCCTGACGACGATGAATTCGATTTTCGCCAAATTGCAATCCGCTCAGGGGCGAAACGTTGTTGCCAATCGGCTAGCTCTCTTTGTCGCTGCCGAGATCGATTCCCGTCGTTACAAAGGTGGTCCAGACGCGCGCAGCATCCAAAAGCCGATCCACAAGAGCTTCTGCTGTGCCGCGAAATTCTGCCATTCGCGACGGAATGGACGATGAAAAATTGTGCAAAGCGCGTCCGTGCAATGCGTATTTTATTTGTTTTTTTTTTAATCGAGTACAGCCTTGTCTGTAAGTATAAAACATCCTCAATTTTATTGCATTTTCTTGGAAATAATAAAATTCAAAGAACAAATTAACGAGATATTGACATTGTTATAAAAATACATCATTTTTTAGCAAAACTATTTTAATTTTTTTCTTGTCGGATATAAAACGTTACATCAATTTTTGGGTGTGCTTTACACTTTTAGCCAAGACTGTAAGACAACATGTTACAACAAAAATATTATTGTACCACGGAAAGAACAATTTTTCAGAAATATTTAAAAATTTAGCTGAATGCAGATCTGAAAATAATATTGAACTATCAAAATAATAACGTAGGACGCTCAAACTGGTTGTCAGAATATCAAAACTTTTTGCAACATTGTTTATTGTGCTTGAGTTTTCTACATAATTATTTCGATGCTTTAACAAGATTATTTTCAGATCTGTATCTATCTAATTTTTTACACACCTTAACGAAATTGTTGTTTCTGTGAAAATACGTTCTTTAAATGGTATACTTTGATATTAATAGAGAGGAAGGTGATATTAAATGGCCTGCAGTGTAGATATAGTGTCTTCTCTTAGCATCTCTACTATTAAGTAGCGAATTCTAGTGATTATTTATGGAATTATTTTCTGCATCTCGTCATTATACTATGACGTTAGTATGCTAATACGTAACAGTCAGTATTTATTATAACACATTTCTATTTTGAAGCATTTCGCTTTATGCAAAATTAAATAATAGTATTTTAGTAATGTGATCAGCCTATCTACGGAAAATGTTATGTATACACACATATAATATTTATTTGCATGTGTTCTGCAATATTTTTCTTTATTAATTTTATAACCAAACACTGTTTTTTTTAACAAAATCAATTTTTTAATCTATTTTTGTAAGATATACATGGATTACCACCCCTGCGTTTGTCTCCTAGTTATACAATGTTGCCGTATTTTTATAAATAATTTTCTAAGAAATAAATGTTTCACATAATTTTCAGTCTAAAATTGAGTGAACAACACTTTGACGAATGTAATCGTTAAGTTTTAAATTTAAATATTGATTATTAACTAAATTATTACATGAAATAGGTATAAATGGTGGGGAAAGTAATAATACTATTTTTTTCTCTATATCATTTTTATTGCTAGAATTGTTTAAATTAAACTTTATTATTATTATACGAATTTGGAAAGATCTGAATGTTTAGAAACGAGAGAACAACGTGACTTAGGCGTTTTAGAACGTCAGTTTCGTAATGTTGGTCGGAGGCTTCATGCGGCGCGGAATTCCCAGCCTTAATTCTTCTGCTACCGAAACCTTTTCGAGTTTTCTCCTTTTTTTTTGCTTGAAAATATTACAGAGAGAAAATCGATTCTACAGGATAGAGTGTGGTGCGTGCAGCAATCTGGTGGGTGGTGCGCGCAATTGCGGGGTCCGCGCGAGAGATGGATTCATGAATTACGGGCGCGCGCAAGCTACGCGCGGTAAATTGCAGCGTTGGGGAATTGGGTCGATTTAATCCCGCGTTTTGCGTGTGAGGTGCGCGTAGGTAGGTAGATAGATGATGTTCCGTGAATCCGCGATCAATTCCCTTCGTGGAAGCGCGCCGCTTATTATAAATGCCGCGTGGTCGACGACGGCACTTATTATCCGGGCGCACCGATGCATCCAGCGAGACGGAAGAGGGCAGCTGGCGTCCACTCAATTCCCTTTTGCAAACTTTAAACGTTAACGTCACATACATTACAAGCCATATACTCGTACATATATTTACATTTTATTAAAAAAAATTAAATATAAATACATATGTACGTGTATCAGTATTGTATTTTGTGTTTACGTGTACGGAAAGAACACGCGGAATTTAAACGCATCTCAAAATTTTATAATAGATACAAATCTGAAAATAATTTTATTAGACTATCAAAATCATTGTATTTCTATGTATTATGTAGGATATTCAAGCAGTGAGCATAGAATTATTTTGATGGTTTATTTTAAACCTAAAATTTTAGATCTATATTTAGCTTTTTATAGATACATATTTTTAGATACTTTAGGTAAATTTAGACTTGCCAAAAAACTGGAAATCAGGGAAATATCGGATAATTGAAAACTATCAAGGAAATCAGAGCAAAGTTAGAGATTGTGCAAAATTCTTTGGAGAATTAAAATTCTTAGTTTTTAAAAAATTTTAAATGCGTACATCATATATTTATGCAATTTTGGGATATTAACAATTTAATTAAATTAAAAATGCAAGCAATATCAGCACTAACATTAATAATAATTTATATTAATAAATTTGCCTTTCGCGAAATATTTGATGGTTTTCAAATCAAGGCAGAACTATTTACAAAAGATTTCAAAATGTATTATTGAAATTTTTTATTAAGGAAAATTATGAAATTTTGCCTGGAAATCGGGGAAATGTTATGAAATAATATAATGAGAAATTTGCAATCCTAAAAAAATCATTCTTCCATGTTTATCTACTTTATATTTATATATTGTATATAATATATATATTATTTGTATATTATAATATATATTGTATATTTATGTTATATACATGTATATAATTCTAATTATTTATTATATTCTTTCTACAAACTTTTGTTAGTAATAATTTTATTTTAATGTTTGTGTGACGATTTGAATTATTAAAATAATGTTTATAAAAATAAATAATATATAATAAAATACATATGTATAACGTAAAGTTATTATTAACTTTAAGTTATTATTAACTAAGTTATTATTAACTAAATTATTACTTTTTAAAATCACCTATAATAAAAAATAAAGGTAGTGTTTTTATTGTATTATCAAACATGCGCATCTTTTTCAATATATTACGTATAAATGTTTTAAAAGCTTTTATAATAAAAGGATGAAAATCATATATATAAATCACATATGTATAACAGAAAATAAAAGATATTATGTTTTTATTGTATTATCAAACATGCGCATCTTTTTTAAATATATCACACATAAATACAAATGTTTTTAAAAGCTTTTATAATGAAAGGACGAAAAAAAGTAATATTTTTGAACGACTATTGTTTCATTTATATCAATATTTCAGAAATATTACAAATTGTATTATGTTTAAAATATATTTTTTTTTTTTTTCTGAAATATTGTACGAAATATAATTTTTTAAATTGTTAACATAATTTTTAGATAAAATCAGAAAATTTATGTAGAGATACAATTTTATCTCCTTGCAAGCCATATTATAATTTTTATCAATAATTTTTCTTACAGAAAGGAATTATTAATAAAAATTGTAATATTACTGATAAAAATTGTATTATAAAAAAGTTACTAAAGGAATTTAATATTGCTAAAAGGAAATAAAAATATAGAAAATATTCATCTCGCAAGTTGAAGATATTAAAAGATTTTGTGGGAAGGAAGGGATTTCTGAGTGCAAGCAATCCCTCAGGGGAGAGTCAAACACTCTTGTTGACACGCCATCGACATATTATCCTCGATAAATTTTTATGCGATCACTTCACGCGTATTACCTCCAGTTTCCTAATTTCTTTCTCGTTTCGACGAGTATCAAACCACTATGTCTTTTATCATCTGTCGATTCTTTCATCTCTTCCGTATCCCTTCCCAACCATCATTTACACCCTTCTTCAAGGGTTTAAAACTCCAGTGACATTGTCCGCTTTATCGCTCCTGACCTTTTGGGTATTCGATTTACGTGTGAACTTTAAGAGATAGGCGAATCCTGTTTATCCTTACGATCTCTCTTGTCGTAAAGTCCCGAATCCTCGTAAATTCTGCTACGCCAAAACATGTACTGTCGGAGGATTATTGTCACAGTAAACATACGTAAGGATGTCAAAACACAAGCGGATTTAGATTTGAAATTGAATTTACAAAATATATTTCAAAATTTACTAAGAAATAACTAAAAAAGTATAATTAGAGAAATCGAATGTCGCCAGAATGTGTATTAAAAATCTAAAAATATGGAATCAAATTCTAAATTCCGAAATACTATAGGATTTTCTTTCTAAAGTCGAATGTTCAAGAAAATCTTGTAAAGTATTTAAAAAAATTGTAAAAGGTTATTCCTTGCTAATTGTAAATTAAGACGAAAACTTTATATGAGCATGTCTGAAACGATTTAGTTTGAAAACTACAAGGTGACAAAGTGGAAATAAAAGTTCCATTTTTTCAAAAATTTTGAAATTCAGGTTATTTTAATGAAACTTTATATGTTTATCAAAATAACCGAATGAATTTTGAAATTATTAGAAAAAGACTAAATTTTTCTTTCAATTTTGACATCCTGAAACTAAATCGTGTTGATTATATGATGATATAAAGTTTTCATCTTGATGTTAAGAAATCATCCCACTTTGTATGCAAAATGTTATTAAGAAAGAATAAGTGGAGAATATGTAACAAACATAGAAAATCAAATTTTGAAATTACGCTTATTGGATTCTCTTCCCAGAAAAATCGAATCCAGAGAAGTCTCGAGATGCAAGAATTATGGGCGCGCCACCTCGTGATCTAAAAATACACAAGATATATATATTTATATCGTTTGAGATCACACGCGACTGTTTCAGGATGTAGTCCCACGGCTTATCGCTAATAACCCAAATTAATGCCTTGATACCTATATATCGATTTAGACTGAGACAAGGGGGAGGCGAAGGAAGAGAGGAGGCGACTAGTCGTGACTACCGGAGGCAATATCTCAAGCCTAATTGCAACGGCCGATGCCGCGCGCATCGGACATGAGCACCGTGCCGCTCCGCCGCGGAGGACGACGACGATGGCGATGATGATGCTGCGAGCGATGCAATTAGTGGTGCTGCGCTGTGTGCTTCGAGCACCCTGTATCGTCCCAAGCTATTTCTGCACGTGGCGAAACTTGAGTACCACGCCGCGGGAGTTTCCTCATGCAGGAAGGAGCTCAAGCAGGAGGATGTTGATCGCGGATGGGATCGATTACGCGGAAAACTCGCAGTAAACGTGCGCGTTAGCGGCTGCATTCAGATGCAATACTGCGAATATCACAGACGTCAGTAGGTAGAGTTAATTGCAGCGTCGAATCGTAGATACGAATTGGAGATATATTGAAGTATAATCTGCTGTGAAATTGTATCTAGTCACACAGTATTCTTATTATAGGGACGTGTCGTAAATTAGCAGACTGTACTACCATATACTCTGTACATTGTCCAACATTATTTTCATCATATATATGTACAGGAAAGTTATATTGAGAAAATTACTTGTAAAAGTAACTACAGTTATAGTTTTTTTTTCATTAAAAAGTAACTTTGAAAGAAAAACTTTTACAAATTATCGATTTTGAAAAGTAATGTGACAGTTGTTATCATTATTTAAAAAGTAACTGATCGGTATTTTTCATTTGCTTTTCTGCTAATTTTTTATAACTTTTCCATTGCTATTTTAAGAATCTTATATATGATAATTCTAATGTTTACTAAATTATTTTACTTGTTATACTAAATATTCGAAATCTTACTCTAAAAGAGTAAAAAAAAGTACAGCTATTTTTGGAGAGGAGTGAAAATAATTTACTTCTTGGAAAAGAGTAAGAATTTTCGCTTTTCTCTAAAAATGGCTGCATTTTTACTCTTCCAGAGTGAGATTTAAAAAAATGAGATTTTTATCAAATTTAGAGAGAAGTTCAATTTAACGATAACGCATTATTTAAATAATCAATATTAAGGATAAAAAATAAATAACGAAAATGATTTAGTAAATTCGGTCACACTTGCATTATCATATACTAGATTAGTGCATTTTAAAAGTTGCATGAAATTAGGAAAGTTAAATATAAAAGTATATAAATATTTTGAACAATTAAATACTTAATAATGATAATGTTACGTTATTTAACAAAATATATATGTAGGTATTTCATTATTAAAGTTGGATTGTATTATATCATTACTGCATTTGCATAAAGCTACTTTATATGTATAAAGTAACCTTTTTAATTTATACTAACCCAATGTAATGTGAGTGACCAAATTCACTATTTGTAAAATCTTTCACCAAGAAGAAATAGACTTTGAATTATTCGCAAAAAAATTTTTTTATTTTCGAGGTATCCCGGTGTTTCTGAATATAGTTTCGGGAGTACATCCTGTAGACTCATGGTTTTAATTTTCAAATGGCGTCCATAAATATAGAAGGATCAAGCTCGCGGGGCAACGTCCCTTAAATTATGAAATACAAGGTATTTCTTCGGCGGGACGCTGGCGCTGAAATTAAATACCATTAAAGACTAGCTTCTATCCCTTGGCATCCTTTCGCCCTCCGTCGTGTATACCCGTAATTTTTACACGCACGATACTTTTTCGCGCATTCATTTTCATCGTGATGGATTTATTCGCGACGACTGTAAGGACCCGTCGATCACAGGGATTACTTATATATATATATTTCTTTCATAGTAATAGTTTATATTTAAAATTTTACATAAATCATGCTTTTCCTTCCGCCTTTGAAATGAATTAAATTTATATTTAAGCGTCGGCTCCGAATAAAAGGAGAAGGAATAGAAATCGTAAGAAGATTAAGAAATTGCAGAGAACGTATACATAACTGGAAGGACTAAATATTTATTTAATTCTTTCAAAGTGTTTCTTGGGAAGTAATTTGAAATGAAATTGCAGTCGCTATGAGTTTTTTATGAGAGTATTTTTATTGGACCCTTGGGAAATTATAAAATGTCAGATAAGTTAGGAAAATAATTTGTTATATTTGATGCATAATCTTCGTGATTTATTTTTAAAAATACGTTTTTCAGTTATATAATACATAATTCTTTTATATGTTTTCTTTTACCATATACGAATTACAATATTTAAAATCAATTTTTTCATCTATTTTCTTAATTATATTTAAGAAACTAAGTTTTTTTTACGTAATATACTAAATGTAAGAGATAACTTTTTGGTATTTGTAAATGTAATTATAATTATAGTATAACATGCAATTATAGTTGCAAGTGCCAAAAATTTTCATCAGTGTATTGTATACAATATCTCTTAATTCACAATAATCACGGAATATTTAATATCTTATTTTAAAGACGCGTATTTGCAGTACTTTTCCGAGAATCGCGAGACGCATTTTCCACCGCGATTTCTTCTAATCCGGTCGCCCTGCGGCTATACTTCCGCGCACTTTCTCCAACTCAAACGAAATAGCCGTGCATTCGCGGACGAAAGAAACTGAGCGCAGAAAGTGCATCCGGACGCAGCAGCTCGGAGAGCCGAACCATAATCTTTACGGAGAAACGCCGTACTCTTATCGCGAGCCACCGGCCGCCCGCGTCGCTCCTGTATCCGGAACGCCGTCGCACCATATGTGCCCGTGCACATGCACGATGCATCGCGCTGGTGCATTTAGAAGTCCCTCTCGCTCGAGAGAGTCAGTTGCACTCAGCTACGCGGAATGCCTCGCGATAGCATGGTATTGTCGCGCGTGACGCGATAAACTTTGACGGCGCCGCGCGACAATAAAGGCCCTCCTTCTCCCGTTTCCTATCCCCTGTTCCACCGTTCAGTTAATCCGCCCGCTTCTCGCAGGAAGCGTTGATAAGCACCGATAAGCTGGTCGACGCGTCGTTTCAACGCGGACTCGCCCTGGTGGGGGAAAATTTTTGTAGCGGGGGTCGAGATATCTTCAATTAATTTATTATAGTTATTTGTAGTTATGCAATCAAGCTAAAACTAAATTATAGACGCTACTTATATCTGTGTTTATCAATGTAAATTAACTTTAATCTCGATTCAACTTAGAGGGAGAGGGGGCAGGTATTCTTTATTCTTTTATAATTTATGAAACTAAAATTTAGTAGGAAAAACTTTAAGCTTTTACATTAGAAAATTTTTGCAAATTTCTTTGGGTACGTGATAGACCTACAGAGTAAGAAGGAAATTTTCATAGTTTTCTATATGTGAAATTTACTAAACTTACAGAAATTTAAAAAAAACATACGGACCTGTCAGAAGTAGATATTTTAAACTTAAAATTTTTTTTTTAATTTAAATTTCATTCATTTTTAACGAAGTTACAGCTGCTTGAATTATGAAGTAGTAGCGAACTTTTGTTCTGACCTACATTGGTGGAAACGGGCATTAACCTGTCACTTGTATGTTTACTTTTTTTCTTCTATACTATTATACTTTTGAGATCAGTTATATACATAAACTAATCATATTCTCTAATCTATTTGCATTTTTATTATACAGTCTTATCTTAATTAATACCTATATCGTAATTAATATCTTTTATATTTTGATTATTTTTTTGTATATCTTTTTAGTTTACAAACATCAAATTGCTGAGTAATATTATATATTATATCTTGTCTCGTATCTATTTAATTAAATAAGGCATCATCTTGTATTATAACTTCTTCAACATTAACAATTATACTTGATATAATTGTACTTTCCATATCATACAATCATTTATTAATAAAAAACAAAATAGTTTTGTTGCTTTAAGAATAAATCAAATACAAGTAAAGTGTCAATATGAGACTCCGTAGTTGTTAATAAATGATAATTTAAAGGCAATTAAAATATATCTGTAAAAACTATAGCAATTAACTTCGTTGGTAAGTATATTTTAATTGTTTGCGAATTATATTTTATTGCCTTATAAATACATTATTCCGCACTACTAATATTCACAGATTCATATTGACAATCATTTATAACGTCATATTTGCACTGCAACTATGATGTACTATGTGTATATACCATTATATCAGTTAATACCCTGTAATATCTACTAATAATCACTAATAACCAGGTAAGGCATCACATCAGCTGCTCAGTTGCAGCCTTACCTATTAAGTACTTTAACTTACTTATAATGTATTCACCATTTTTATATATTTGTATTTATGAGATTTACATAAAATTATATTTAATATTTTTTCATATTATATTCAATTAAATTAAACTATGAAACAAAATTTGACCTTTTTGCTACACAAATGTGAATAATCACATCCAATATATTTTTACTTAGTGAACACAAATTTGTTAGCTATCATGTCACAGTTATTTTGAGAGAAATGAGGCCAGTGTCAAAAAAACCAAAATTGATTTTGAAGATTTTCAAAACGTTGCAGTACCGATAATTAGTTTTTTGTTTAATTTTATTAATGCCACATCAAAGTATCAACTTTTAGCTTTAAAATGTATTTCGGTTTGTTTTAATATCTATGATTTTTTCCCGAGCTACAGCTATCGAAATAGATAGTTCTTTTTTCATATAATAGTAGTCGATAAAATTTAACTTTTTCTTTCATCACGTGTGTGAATAATTATTTTCGATGTTTTTTTACTTACTGAATACGAATTTGTTTGTAAAAGTTGATACTTTAATTATTATGTCAAAACTAAAAAAAAGGCGTTAATAGGTTATGTTTTGGCCTCTTCGATATACCATTTTTCTCAAAATTTTGATGTGATAGTCAACTTTTACCAATGGATTTGTGTTCAATACACTAAAATACTTATATTGGAAATCGGAAATGATATTCGCACTTATATTGTAAAATCGTATTCCTTATTATTATCATCATCATCATCATCATCATCATCATTAGTATTATTATTACTATTATTATTATTACTGTTATTATTATCATTGTCTGGTAGAGAAGAAGGAATTGTTTCCAACTACTCCAAAATTTTACGGACGAATCTCCCGATAATAATCCGTGATAATTCGCGATGAAACGTAGTATAAATGCGTAAAGAAAAGATCTTATCTTGAACGATAATCGTCGAACATATGTAAAAAAAAAAAAAAGCGAAAAACTAAAAAATTGAACTGTGTAATGTTATTGGAAAACAGAGTGCACGGGGAAAAT